TTTGCTCAGCTAGTGGAGCTGATGTTTTGTTCAACTCAAAGCATTTTGCCGAGCTGATTTTGCTCAGCTAGTGGAGCTGATGTTTTGTTCAACTCAAAGCATTTTGCCGAGCTGATTTTGCTCAGCTAGTGGAGCTGATGTTTTGTTCAACTCAAAGCATTTTGCCGAGCTGATTTTGCTCAGCTAGTGGAGCTGATGTTTTGTTCAACTCAAAGCATTTTGCCGAGCTGATTTTGCTCAGCTAGTGGAGCTGATGTTTTGTTCAACTCAAAGCATTTTGCCGAGCTGATTTTGCTCAGCTAGTGGAGCTGATGTTTTGTTCAACTCAAAGCATTTTGCCGAGCTGATTTTGCTCAGCTAGTGGAGCTGATGTTTTGTTCAACTCAAAGCATTTTGCCGAGCTGATTTTGCTCAGCTAGTGGAGCTGATGTTTTGTTCAACTCAAAGCATTTTGCCGAGCTGATTTTGCTCAGCTAGTGGAGCTGATGTTTTGTTCAACTCAAAGCATTTTGCCGAGCTGATTTTGCTCAGCTAGTGGAGCTGATGTTTTGTTCAACTCAAAGCATTTTGCCGAGCTGATTTTGCTCAGCTAGTGGAGCTGATGTTTTGTTCAACTCAAAGCATTTTGCCGAGCTGATTTTGCTCAGCTAGTGGAGCTGATGTTTTGTTCAACTCAAAGCATTTTGCCGAGCTGATTTTGCTCAGCTAGTGGAGCTGATGTTTTGTTCAACTCAAAGCATTTTGCCGAGCTGATTTTGCTCAGCTAGTGGAGCTGATGTTTTGTTCAACTCAAAGCATTTTGCCGAGCTGATTTTGCTCAGCTAGTGGAGCTGATGTTTTGTTCAACTCAAAGCATTTTGCCGAGCTGATTTTGCTCAGCTAGTGGAGCTGATGTTTTGTTCAACTCAAAGCATTTTGCCGAGCTGATTTTGCTCAGCTAGTGGAGCTGATGTTTTGTTCAACTCAAAGCATTTTGCCGACCTGATTTTTGCTCAACAAACTGAGTTGGTGTTTTGTTCAACTCAAAACTCCTGGGCGAGCTGATTTTTCTCAGCAAGATGAGTTGGAATTTTTTTCCTCAAACCCTTTTGTTGAGTTGATTTTGCTCGACGAGAACTAAAGTTGTTTTGTTCAAAGTTCCCTGTCAAGGTGTCATTGCTTGGCTCAAAGTAAAAGCATGTATCAAGTTGGAATCATAGATGGCAAAAGTTTACGAAATTTTCATTAATAGAAAAGTTAAGTACAAAAGTAGGGGCATTGAGCCCAGTTACATCCATTACCAAACACAAAACAAAAGGAAAAAAGGTGGAAACAAATAAGTCAAACTAAATGAGAAAGATCATCAACAAAATCATCTCCAACTGCAGCATTCTCCTGTTCAGCTGCAGAGGCCTCTTTGCCCTCACCGAGCTCCTTCTACGCGACATCATCCTTTTCTACGGTTTTCTCATCTTATAGTGCCTTGAAAACATCCTCAGTATAGGAGGTCATGTAGTTTTGAAAGAAGTAAGGGGAGAAGTGGTAAACATTTCGGTCGTGGGCCCTTGTCTGAGCTTCTCACAAGCTGTCTTCTAACCAGACTTAAAGAAGATGTCCTTGGTGGTGTCGACCTACTTGATATAGCTCTCCTTGACCTTGAAGCCCTTATCTTCGGCTTTCCTTCTTGGCATCAGACTTCTCTTTTCTCAACTTCTCCAGCTTGGCCTTTGCTACATCTCTATCTTGCTTGGCGCTAGCAACTTGGCTGAAGAGCTTGGCATCATCAGCATTAGCCATCTTCTAGGAGGCCTTGGATTGCCCTAGCTCGATCTCCAAATACTTTCCTTGCGTGGTCCTGTTAACCACCTTCTGCTAAATATTGACAACTCGCTCCATCACTAGATGAGTCCTCTGAATTGCCTCTAAGACAAAAGTGTAAGAAAGCAAAATAAAGCAAAAAGTTAGACAATTTTCGCAAAGCACTTATGTTGGCCATGAATTCAACGCAGATTTGACCATCCGGGTGTCTGGAACGTGGTCGCTTTGTGTCATGTCAACTGGTAACAGCAATGCCTTTGACAGGTCAAAGGCAATTAGATGCTTTTTATCCCCACTAATGGAAACATTCGCAAGGGTAGCCTTTCCCCAGTGCTTCAGCTCAGGCTACCAAGGGGGTGTAGGTTTAACTTTTTCAGCCACCTGTTTAGTACTCAACTTAACCACTAGTTCGGCCAAGGGATCAGTTGTGCGGGCCTTTTTACCAGCTTTGTGCGACTCTAAAATGATGGATTGGACGGCGGTAAAAACCAAGGCCAGCACGGTTCTTGAACTTTGACCGGCAGCTAGTGCGAGCGGCGATGAACTGGTCAGTGGGTCGAAAGAGGTAGCAGTAATGAGGTTTTTGATCCTTTTTCTTTTTGTCATTTCCTCTTCTTCGGTTAAGCATATTAGTGGCACGTCATGGAGATTTGGATCTGGCAGAGGAGAAGGTTCAATAAGGAAATCAGTCACTTTACTTTTGCACTTTGTTTAATACTAATAGGTCGACAAGTAACCAAGGAGATTGTGGCTGCTACGCTTTTTGTACCTTAGCGCGGCCCTCACCGCATCTTCGTTTGGATAAGGATACAAGGCTCGTAGCTCAAAAATACTTGTGAAAGAAGATTAGTTAGCTCGAAATAACAAATACTAGTTGAAACCATCATTTGTGTGGCCGAGCGTATATTGGCGTAATATCTCGATCAAACTTAGATTCAAGTCTAACCGGCGGTTTAGCTCAGCAACTCCATTTATTATTCAAAAAGTGTTGGTGGATCCTTGTGTGGGGCACAACCCGGTCCGTCTTAAGAACTCACAGATCAAGGGTTGTATCGGAAAGTAGAGTCGTCCTTCTGCTATGGACAACACGGTGAAGAGGCAAGCATTCTCTCTGCCCCAAGGAAGTGTCCCTTCCTTGCTGAGCTTAAGATGTATGTCGGTTGGAATGTTGTAGTCCTTGCAAAACTCGGCCAGTCCACCCGGCATGTTTACCAAAAAGCGATAGTGCTCCATGGAGCCCGGTTTTGAGAGTGCTTGTGTTGGTGTGCCTAGTCTCCTAGGACTCTGTATGGTAAAAAACAAAAGTTAAGTGCAAGTAGCAGCACGGTCGCGCAGGTGATCTTGGTTCTACCTCGATCGCGTAGATAAGTTGGGTATTAGCTTGGTCGTGCGTAACAGCTAGATGTTACCTTGGTTGTGCAAAAGGCTGTAATCCAGCCTGGTCACCCAGCTACCTTTGCTTTTGTCTTTCTTCTCTCTAAAAGGGTGCTAACTTGATCATTGGATAGGTTTTTCGGCTACACACCCACCAGGCAGCTCACCGTCTTTGTTCTTTTAGGCTGAGCGACGTCATTCGGAGTAACTTGGAGTTTGGACGCAAGGAATGCGGAAGTAAAAAATATTTACTCCCCGTACATAATTTATAGAGATAATAAATTTAAGATAAATTCTCTTTCAAAAATATATTAGAGGAAATAAAATTAAAGGAAACTTGAACTAAGAATTGAATATTTGAGAGATTTAAGATAAAGATTTCAAAAAATGTATGAGAGATAATTAATGACAATCTATCTATCTATGGAAATGCAATTTACATTTTCAAGGGGTTGTTTGGGATGGTACTAAAATAGTATTTTTTTTTTTGTATTTTTGTCTTTTTTGGATCATATTACCTTTTCACTTTTTTACATATGTTTCTGTAAAAAATCAAAAAATTACTAAAATAGGTTATTCCCAAACAACCCCTACGATTGTTTCTTCTGTATTTGGAAAATTTATCTAGAAGTCACATTCTAAAAAAATATGTACTGAAAAATTTCATCAATTGTCTTGTAGTCTATTTAGTCCCATTGAATTTAAAAGAGGTACACCGTAAGGTTGTTTTACAATATTCCTTAGAGATTTCAAATGTGAGTATATTTCATTTCTATATTACTGTCGTATTAAGCTTTTATCCATAGTTGTATTCACATAATTTGTTCAACTTCCCAATCATGAATTTGAGTCGCCACCCCACCAAGTGTTAGGGCATTTAATTCACACACTAACTACTAGATTGTAATTTATAGAGATAACATATTTAATATAAATTCTCTTTAAAAAATATATTAAAAGGAAATAAAATTAAAGGAAAGTTGACTAAGAATTGAGTATTGGAGAGATTTAAGGTAAAGATTTCAAAAAATGTATGAGTGATAATTAATGACAATCTATCTATCTATGAAAATGCAATTTATATTTTCATAACACGACATATAGGTTTAAGATTGTTCTTCTTCTTTTTTTTTGTTTTTTGTTTTTTGTTTTTTGTATTTGGGAAATTTACCTAGAAGTCCCCTCCTAAAAAAATATGTATCGGAAAGTCTCATAAATTTTCTTATAATCTTTTTTTCTTTTTTCTTTTTTTTTGATCAGATTTCTTGTAGTTTACATGTGCTAAAATAGCACATGTTATTTAACAAATTATGTAAAATAGGAAGGTATTACCGGCCCCGCTCTACATACAGAGAGAAAAAATTAAAATTTATGTAAAATAGGAAGGTATTAGCGGTTGAAGGGCAAAAGACGGTGGGCCAAGAGGGGATGACATGGTTACCAATGGTAACGGCAACGAAGACCACGGATAGTGGCTAGGGTTAAAGTTAAATGTTTAAAATTGATGAAGCTAAACAATATTATTTAAAAATGAGTTATGTTAGGAAATCCAAATATTTTATTAAATATTATAACAAACCTCTTACATGGGTGTGTGGGATCTACACAAATATGGATTTGTGTGAGTCCCATCTTATGTCATAGATTTGGTAGAATATTTAAGATACATAGCAATATTATTTAAAAATTATTAATATGAATTGAGAAAAAATAAAAAAAAAATTCAATTTGTATTTTGTGTGAACTTAGTAGTAGTAAGTGTGTACTAAGATATTCCAAGTGTTATATAAATCAAAGTTGCCCACACGATCGCTAAATCAAATTTTATTGGCAAATCTATCTCATAACTTTATTGTTCTTCCATTTTGTCATATCGGTGGGAAAAAAAAAAAAAAAAAAAAGGGCTTTGAACAATTGGCTTAGGATTCAAGAGGAACAAGAAAATTCGTTCTGTTTTCGAGTAAGTATTTAGTTTTTTCTATCATTTTATAGATTGAGACCCTTTACCTCATGTGTTGAGTTCGTGAATAAACATCTGTGTATTTTTTATTTTTTATTTTTAAATTGATCTGGTTATTTTATTAATCATTTTTTTTTTTTGATCTTGCTATTTTACATTTTTTTTAATCCGTGTATTTTTATTTTTTTAATTGATCTGGTTATTTTCCAATGGTTTTCATGGATATTTTTTCAAATTGATTGGTAGGTTTTTGGAACTGTTATAAACCCATTCTTCATCCCATCGGTTTCATCGTTTTAGGGGGTTGGGACTGAAAAGTAGTGAGAGACATGCCTCCTCAGTCTTCAGGTAATTTTTCTAAGATCCTGATTTCACTATTTTGGATTTGCTATTGTTTTATTTTCTAAATAGGGCAAATTACGATCCCTCTACTTTGATCCTTATAATTTCAATTGGCTTAATTTTTATCATTATTTTATGACTTTATCTCAATTTTATCCAATTGATTACAATTCTTGACATGTGTTATATTTTTGATGACAAAATTATAAATTTATTTAACTGAGTGAGTTAACATCAACCAATAATTCAGTATTAATTTTTTGTAAAATTGAACCAAATTGATAAAAAAAAAAAAACCTAAAATTATGGGTAAAAAGTGAGTCAATTAAAAGTGTAAGGATCAAAATGATAACAAAATGTAGAGACCATCGGTGTAATTTGCCCTTCTAAATGTTTTCCAATGCTTGGAAACAAGAGCAAATGCTTATATATCATCTTCCTCTTTTCTTTTTTTTTTGGTAATAAAATAGGTTTACTTCGAACTTTGGAAATTTTGATGGCATGAGTGGAGTCGAAAAAAAATAAATAAATAAAGGTATGATTTACTTGTCAATATTCTGTGTGAATTTTACTTATTCAATTAGATTTAATTTTTTATTTTTCATATTTTATATTTATGTTGTATTTGGCTAATCTTGATAGAAATTTGGATAGGCAAAGGAAAAGGGAAACGGCAAATTTTTTTAACTCATATTGTATTCACAAAAAATTCCAAAAGATTTAGAACTTGACACAAAGGGTCATGATAACAAATAAAAATATATTTTATACGTATGCATGAAAATAAAAACTGTTTCTTTATTTTTTTAGATTGGGAATACTTCATTTTATCATATAAAAATGATAAGTAATTTTCCCCATTTTAAATATTGGGAAAGAAGTATGAACCCAAAAAAACATAATATCTATTTTAGAAAGTTATCCGAAGTCACAAATTTAAAATATGATGGGATAAGCTAGTCATAGGTTGTCCCCTTATCTCCGAATCAAATGTGACCCTACTCTATATCACTAGGCTACTTCTCATCATTGATTTCGAAAAATTACCTTAACTCAAAAATTGTCATCTCACGATAAATGATTTCATAACACCATGGAGTAGTATAACATTGACTAAATTTTAAGGACATTTATGTTTTGCAATATATTAATCATGGCCTTAAGTTGTTTCTTTTAAAGGTACTAAAGCACTAATTTGAATCACATTCTATCCTTAAATGCATTCTCTGACGGTGATAGGGCACCATGTGAAGTAGACCAATTCTGGTCTTACTTGGATATGGTACTAATTTGCTTTTCTTTTTCTCACCTTAATTGATTCAAATTTGTTCAAGTATTATGTTATTGAATTGTTCCATATGGAACTCATGCATTTAAGTCAGTCTATATATATGTACACACACATTGTTTTGTTTTACGAGTTTTGAACAGTCTGATTTGTGCAATGGAATCCATGTATTTCATACATAGAGGTCAGGGTTAGTAAAGATTAGCACGTGAAGGTATGCGTTTACGAATCTGGTCAAGATCTGGTTGGAATTTGGTTTGAATCTACTCTCTCTCTCTCTCTTTCTCTCTCTTTGGGTTTTGTTTGAGATGGAGGTGGCCGATTGTATTTTGAGTAGTGATGATAATGATGATGATGGTGGTTGGGGATTATGGTTGTGGAGTTGGTTTGGTGGTGTTAGAGGGAAGTAGAGGTAGGGGATTGGGACTGGAGTTATTGAGGTACCTCAAGGGTACGGCAAAAATGTGTTTGTGCTTTAGAGATGCTAAACCAGTCTTAGAAGGCTATATGGATTCAGATATGGCAGGAGATCTTGATGGTAGAAGATCTATATTAGGATTTCTGTTCACCTTTACAGGGAGACCTACGTCTTGGAAGTATAAGCAGCAAAAGTGTGTTGGCACCATGCCCCTAGTTCATAAGGTCCTTTCCAAGTGATTTCGACAATTACCCTAGCTGAGACTAAGATTCATCATTCCAACCACCAGTG